AGTTATCAACTTTTAAAATACATTTACAATTCAATAGTTAATTGAAGGAAACAAAACAAAAGTGAGGGATATATTAGTCACTTAGTGCCTCACTATGTAAAATTACAAAGATTAAAAGGTTATATTAGTGCAAGTGATATTAAAATACCTAAGTTAGCTAAATAATATTTATGGAATGTCCGAACCTATATTATTAATTATTAATATATCAATATTATTTGTCCAAACCTAATTACGAAGCATGATTTTTTGCCAAGTAAAATTTCGAAACACCAGAACCAGCCACCTAAGCTCAACGCATTCGGGAATTATATATAGGGAGGATTACATTCTATCTTATTATTTACACTTTTAATATTCCTTTTATTTTCTTCTATTCAAACCCTTTTATTTTTTTTTTTTTTTTATTTTTTATTTTTTCCAAACGATAGATTCATTAAACGAAAAACACATAATTACAGCCGATGAACAATCGAAATAGAAACTGCTGAGGGAGATCAACCTAGAAACCACAACACAACACTACAACCCCTTTATTTATTCGATAATAAAATAAAAAATAATCCAAAGCATATCCACTCATCGGCCATCGCCTCCCTCGAAAAATATAAAATCAATTAACATCGCTGTTGAGACAGCTGAGCAAGATTTTTGAGGGAAAAAGAAGAAATGGGGAAAGGTGGGATGTCTCATGGCAACAATGGAGAAGAAGAGAATATGGCAGCTTGGCTTCTTGGGGTTAACAATATCAAGATTCAACCTTTCAACCTCCCTCCTCTTCGTAATTGCTTTATTTTTCTAATCTAACTATTTTTTTTTATATATATATTTTTTTTTAATAATGGCCTCAAAAATTGTAAATTGTTTGCTCTGTATAGGCCCTCATGATGCTAGAATAAGAATGAAAGCTGTGGGTATCTGTGGAAGTGATGTTCACTACCTCAAGGTGACATTTTTTTTTTTTTTCAGATTTTAGGATATTATTGTGTTGTGTCCACTGAAAATTTGATTATTTTGTCGTGTTTGTACGCCTGTGAGTGTTTTTAGCTTTAGACGTTTTGATCCATAGTGTGTTTTTTTTCAAGCTCTTTTAGCTATGGCTGATTTAACTAGTGATCCATAAATCTACTGTGTGACTCCTGCAAATTTAACCAGTGATGGTCGTACTTGTAAATGAAAAATCATACTTTTTCTGTGTGACAATTAGAAAGTATGAATTCACTTTAAGAGTATAAAATCTTGCTTTACAATTATGAACCTTTCATGTAACACATTGATAGATGAAGACCAATATAGTGTTTTCTGCTATAGATGATGACGAATTGAAACCATTGATAGATATACTATCTTGTTTTGTGTTTAGCAAAATTGTGGCAATTCATGATAACTCAATGTTTCTTGTATCTCAGGAGATGAAATTAGCGGATTTTGTGGTGGAAGAACCAATGGTAATTGGGCACGAGTGCGCTGGCATTATTGAGGAAGTTGGGTCTGAGGTGAAGCACCTTTCGCCCGGAGATCGTGTGGCCATTGAGCCCGGAATAAGCTGTTGGAGGTGTAATCTTTGCAAGGAAGGGCGATACAATTTGTGCCCTGAGATGAAGTTTTTTGCTACCCCTCCTGTTCATGGTTCCCTTGCAAATCAGGTCTACCAAGACCTAAACTTGATTATTGTCCTTTAATTGTCGTCATTTTTATTGTCTGGTTGATTTTATTGAACTTTTAGTAGTTTGGTGAATCTTGGTTAGATTGTATGGACAATCTTGTGAAATCTAAAGTTCAGCATTATCAAATTTTTTGTGCCATAACTCTATATATTTTTATACTAACCATCTTTTTTTTTTTTCTTGTTTTATCCTTTTTCTATGATAGATTGTGCATCCTGCGGACTTATGTTTCAAACTGCCCGAGAACGTGAGTTTGGAGGAAGGGGCAATGTGCGAGCCGTTGAGTGTTGGAGTTCACGCGTGCCGTCGTGCGAATGTGGGCCCAGAGACGAATGTGCTGGTGATGGGAGCCGGGCCTATTGGGCTGGTGACGATGCTTGCGGCTCGGGCTTTTGGGTCACCGAGGATAGTGATTGTGGATGTCGATGAGCAGCGTCTGTCCGTTGCTAAGGAGCTTGGAGCAGATGAGACTGTCAAAGTCTCTACTAACATAAATGTGAGCATGTTTGTCAGTCTTGTTAGTTGGGTGCATCGTATTTTATAGGGTTAGTTACCAGAAAACCACCCATAATTTGGAGTATTTACGTAAAGAAAAGATTAAACTACTATAAAAGAAACCATTTTGCCCCATAAAACCGCAGTGAATTTTCAAAGCACCACTTTTGATCGGCAAAAATATTATAATTTGAAGGGCTCAAATTTTAAGGCATGACAAAACCTCAAGGAAACATCCGCAAACTTCTCCTTTTTTTTTTGTAATCACTCCCATGTTCAGGGGCAGCTTCTGTAAGTACCTGCTTTTACATATTGTGATCGTAAAATCTTCATTGATGGGATCCTTTGCAGAGTTGAACACGTGAAATATTTGGTCTCTTGGCAAAAATAACTGCTACCGTTGCTCTTTGCGAAATTTTACTATCTTGTAATTCTAATCAAATATATTGGGTATGAGAGTGTCGTGTATAGCAAGAAATACTATTTGGGAAATGAGCTAGGAACAAACACGAATAGAGTGTTACGGATAATCTAGGCAAGCTGTAAACGAATACATATGCTTGGAATATGAATGGCCTTTAGTTACTCCATCAAAACTTTTGGTTCAGTTCTCTCTGATCATGTTTATTACCATAAACTATGTTTGTACCATTAGAGCTGCAAAATAAGTGAGGAAGCTTATGGAACAGGATGTGAACACAGAAGTTGAAAGAATTAAGGAGGCAATGGGGGGTTTGGTCGACATAACTTTCGACTGTGCGGGATTTAATAAAACAATGACAACAGCTCTTGGTGCCACATCATCTGGCGGGAAAGTTTGCCTTGTCGGGATGGGTCACACTGAGATGACCCTCCCTCTTGCCCCAGCTGCTGTCAGGTACCCTTAAGACACACTCTTCTTTTTATTTTATTTAAATTTAAGCCTTACTTCATTATTTCCCTTCTTTTTTATGTCACAACTTATCCTTCATTCTTTTCTGGAATATGAAAAATCCAGAGAGGTTGATGTTGTTGGCATATTCCGGTACAAGAACACGTGGCCCTTGTGCATCGAGTTTCTGAGGAGCGGAAAGATAGACGTGAAGCCTTTGATAACCCACAGGTTCGGATTCTCTCAGAAGGAAGTGGAAGATGCTTTCGAGACGAGTGCACGTGGTGGTACTGCTATCAAGGTCATGTTTAATCTCTGAAATTGTGGGATTCTGTGAGAATGGTGTAAAAACAAAAATGAATAAAAGCAAACTATGCACAATGTACCTTTGTAAAAAGTGAGACCAACCTTTTAAATAACGTGTGAAAAACTTTCTCTTGGTTTGAATTATCAAACTTGAACTTAAGGATTATGTATTTCCACATTTATTGTATACTGCGTGTTTTTTAGCAATCCACAAACTCTACGAAGAATTTTTGCGGCACTTTAGCTTCAAAACAGCTCCTTTTCAGGAATAGTTGAGCCGAAAGATTTTGCTGGGAAGAACATTTCTGGCATATTCATATTTCTCCAGCCGTATGTAAAGTAGTAGTTGTGTTTATTAAGGAATTTAAAATGGTAAAACTGTTAAAGGGCTTTTGGATAATATAAAGAATTAATAATCTAGGAATATCAGAGCATCTCCAACGGTATTTCAATTGTAGAATTCGAGAGGTTGTGCAAGGAAAGCCATCTTCTATTTGCTTCTATTTTTGATGATATGAGAGAGGCGTAACTGTACGATGAATTCTTTTGTGGGAACTGCGTTTAAAAATTTACCATTAGAGAGTGATTTAAAACATTTACCATTGGAGAACGATTTAAAACATTTACCATATTTACCATTGGAGAGTGATTTAAAACATTTACCATTTGAGAGATCCTTCTATTTATTTGCTAGACCACAATTCACAGGATTCATATTCAATCCTTCTATTTATTTGCTACGTAGACCACAATTGAGCATCCATTTCAAACATCTTCAAACAAAAAATGAATATCTTCTCAATTCCCACTTTTACATTCAGGCATACCATTGCCTTGTAAGAACCATCAATGTTATTCAGCCACAAAAAATAACTAACCTGTGAGTTTTACTCGAGATTATGTAATTTCTTCAAAGATCATCACCACATGAAATTTTATCACAAGATCATCCAATGGCTGATAGTACACAAAGAAACAACCTCTATAATATGACAATCGGGATTCCGTTACACAGGCTCATTCAGACAACTCGAAAGCAAAGAGAGACCAAGAATAATGAGATCTCAAAATTGGCATTTTTCTCATGTTCCTTTATGTGACGATAAAACTCAGGACAATAAAAAGGATTATTTCGTTGCTATAACGTGTATATCTTTCCATTATGTGTGTGTTGGTTCAGCAGACCATCTCCATACTTTGACCTGACCCGACCCATCACCCGTGAAAAATAAACCACTGGGACCAATCTGTATGGACCGAATTTCTTTCTTTGACAAGATCTTTCCCCTCTCAGACAATCTGAAGAGCAAACAAAGGGTGAAACCAAATGAGTATTGCAAATCAAGGAATAATTGCAAGTAACCAAAAAACAGTGGCAGTATTTAGAACTAACGATGGCAAATCATAGACTCGTATTGTATTGTCATTGCACGAACAAAACAACACAGGTTTGGCTTCTGAATCATGCATCCCGCACAAAGCAAGCAATCCCTGCAGATATATTTGCATTCAACCAGTTTTAAGTGGTGAAAAACATTGTACAAATACTCTTGTTAGAGCTCATGCCACAAATAGGTTTTCAAAATAACTAATAGTGAAGTATCATTTAGACATATACTGTCCATTGCTGACATCATTCAGCTCAGCAATAATTACACAGTTACCCTTCGGGTGGGCTTATTCCCACCCACCCCCCAAAAAAAAAAGAACAAAGAAAATACGGGATGATGTTTTGAAATTATAAATGTTGAAACAGCATAAATACGTACATGTTCCTCACTGTGGGTATATGCGACTTCCAAGTTACCAGCCTCAGTGGCAGCCCAAACCTGCAAGTATACAAATTAAAAGAATAAATAAATGAGCTAGTATCTTTATCAAACATCCTGAAATTCTGTATCAAATAATTAAGAAGGATCTATGAACCTTGACAGTTTTGTCCAATGACGCAGATATAAGGAACTGATCCCAACACAAAACAGACATCACAACATCTGTATGCCCTGGTAATGTTTGAATACACTGCAAAGTTTCCAGGCTCCATACCTGTATCAACACCAATCAGAGGACCATAACCGCAATTTCTTAAAAAAATAAATCACAAATAAATAAGGTGGAGATTTCATTCCAAGGATGCAACTTACTCTAATAGAGTGGTCCATTGAACCAGAGTACATTCTGTTACCTCCGACCACTAGTGTCACAACAGCAAGAGTGTGACCCTTGAGTGATGCAGCTGGTTCAAAGCAATTAGCAGCTTCATTGAATTTCCAAGCCAATATTGACCCATCCTGCAAACAAGATAACAATGGTCGGATTTCAAAAAAACAAGTGTATCCGAGAAAACCTCTGGACTCAGGCTTATCCTGGAACTCATTGTAAGAGTACAACTCAAGAATTCAAAATTAGACAAATGCCCTACAATAACCCACAAATACCTTGTTTATCTGTTAAATGTGATTGTTAGAGTCCTCTAAAGGATATATTCACACTTGACATCAAATTACTGTACCCCAAAAAATAAAATGCCTAAAGATAATTTACTCGTGTTACCAGCAAAGCATAACAGGTCTGGGAAAATATGGTCTCGTTAGCCATGGGATAGAATAAATACCTGTGTACCTGCAAAGAGCATGCCATTCCCAACAACAAGGGAATATACTTGTCCAACAGGTCCATTTAAACTGAGCTCTGTAGATGTTTGAATATTCCATGCCTAGTACACACACACAAAAAAAAAAAAAATAATAATAATATTAATAAAAAAAAAATGACTAGAATTATTCGTAGAAATATTATTATGAAATGTTGATAATCTCTAATTAGATATAATCTGGTAATCAAGAAAATATTAAATCAGAACTTTAGAAATGGGTAAAATAAGTAAAGTTCTACAAAAGTTAATAAATGTTCCAGAATGACAAAGTAAAGGTAAAGTGATCTGTTTGCAGGTAGGAGCACATTAATATACATAAGGGTCTTCCATTCTATTTTCTTTCTGGAGTTACAATAAAAGAGGGTTTTATGCAATGTACTTCCACAAACAAAATGTGTGTGTGTGTGTGTGTGTCTATATATATACATAAAGAGAGATCAGTTATGTCCATTGCATATGGAGTTGGAAGAGTCATTGTTGACAATTCCCCTGGCATAGTGCTAATAATGGACTAGATCAAAATGGCTGAATTAAATTCTAGTGCTTCTTCTATTAGTGAAGTTTCTAGAAAAAAATATATCAAACGACGCAACGCACCTTGGGTCGCTATGGAAACAGCCTCCTTGTATAATTACAAGGGTAAGGTCTGCGTACAACTGACCCCCCAGACCCCAACCTGTTGGGAATATACTGGGTATGTTGATGTTGATGATGTAATGAGAGAGATCAGTGAAATAGTAATATAGTGAACTTAGAGGCAACAAGTAACCAAGTAAGTTTTGCTCTTAAGTCTCATCTTACCTTGACAAGATTTGTCAAACCCACGAATACCCATGGACCTTCACTCAGCAGACAGCCTACTGAACCACCCACATTCACTGAAGCTGAAACCTGTTAAGAAAGCCCAAAAGGCAAAAATGAAGAAAACTTAAGTACGTGTTGGGAAAACTTCAACACAAAAGTGCATCAATAGGATTTCCATTTATTATAAAATGATTCCAAAATGTTCTTATAGGTACTACATATTAGATGTATAGTAAAAAGGCATCTAATGTGAGTAACATCCAACATCGAAGTAAAAATTTGAGCTCAAAGGGGCTCAACTCTAAACGACATGATATTGAGATCAATGTTTTCAATACTTGTCAAGCTTGAACCTACAATTTTTTAATAGACTGACCCAAGAACAAGTCCTTTGGTATACTCTAGCAAACAACATTTTTTCTGGAGTTAAGTAGAAAACTCTCACACATGAAGTACATGTAACAAATTGCAAGAGTAGTATTCAATTCAAACATAATGAAGTAAATCATTAAGTTCCAAATATAAGTTATTCAAGAATGAAAATTCTCCACTAATATTTGGTAGTATACCCACAAAAAGGTAGAAGGTGGAACAATAACTAAAAAAAAATTAGAGAAAACAATAAGTGACAACCTGACCAGATTGACAGTCCCAAACTTTGACAGTCTCATCTTGACTACCGGTGTAAAGCTTATCAGACCCCAAAGGAAAAGCAATCCCAGTTACAACCTGATAGACAACTTCTTCTGTTAAGTACACAAAGAGTGTAAGATTGTAACCAGCAAACTCCATGTTCCAGAATCAAACAGAATGATCAAAGATCCATACATACTCAACAGCACTCAGCTTTTTAAGATAAAATCAATTAGATTAACAAATATAACTTAAGAACCAGAGTAACTAAAATAAACAAGATAAGGTGTATTAATCATAACCTCAGGCTCTCCAGAGTCCAGATCAAATACCAAAAAGAACCAACAGGACGGAGAGAAGAAAAATCCAAACTTCGACTAATTAGAACAGCATATGACCCAATGATGGAAAACCTTCTACCTGCTGGTGCCCTTCAAGAATCGTCAACATCGAAAAGCAATCCCCTGTCGACCACTGGTGCAAGTATTTACACGCATCCCCGAATTTACAGCTCCCTTGTACCCAATGATTACACAGTTTCTCTATTTTCTTCACAACGGACCTACTGTTAACGGGCTGCTGCGACTGCACCCTCCCCCAGGTATTATTACTACTAAAATTATAGTTCCCACCCCTCCTCAATCCTCCACCTCCTCGATAATTATCCTCTTGTCCGAACCCCTGATGAACCCTCTTGCCATTCGCTGCCGCCGGTAGTTCGCTGTGCAGAAAAGGGCAAGGATATCTCGCGCACTTTCCTTGTCTCCAATGAAAACACACTTTCTGCTGCTTATTACTATTATTGCCGTTATCAGTCGAAGAGGATGGTCCGAGCCTGTTGAAAACTCTTCTTCCACCATTCACATCCATGGCAGATCACACTGCAAACAAGATCAGGATAAAGGGGGGAAATAGAGGACTTTCTTGTTGGATTAGAGCAAAACGTATGCGCCGGTTGGAATATGATCATGTGATGTCGAGGGTTAGGGTGAGTAAGAGGTGCCACGATCAGGAAGAAGTGAAGAGAACAAAAGAATTTCGAGATCGAATTAGGGTTTTTGAAGGGGATTTTATGAACCCTAAATTTAGGAATTGCAGGACACTGATTCTGCGAGAGATGGATTTGTAAGTAAGAATGAGTAGATTTTACAGAATAAAGATTTCGTCATATTATTATTTTTTATTTTTTTTTTTCCGGATTGATTGACTTCCAACTTCAATTATTTTGGGATTTTTTTTTTTTTTTAAACTCCCAAATATATATTTTTTAAATTTATCATGTAAAGTTTAAAAATGATAAACTAGGCTGTTTTTCCCTTTTTGGTTAGTTCTTTGTTAGGTGTGGTTTTGCTTTTCTAACTAGGCTGTTCTGTAGCAGTGGTTAGTTTATTTTGAGGTCTGATGTTTGGTGCCTATAGGATTCAGCATCTTTGCTGCCTCATGGTTTCCATCATCTTTGATTATTATCTGCCTAGCTCTTTATGGGCTCCCTGTTTATTTTTGTATAGCCGTTTGGCTTCCCGGACATTGTACATATTCCTAGTTATATAAATTCTGTCGTTTCGAAAAAAAAAAAAGTTTAAAAATGATAAATCATTTCTCATAAATGTACAAAATTAACAATTTAGCGTCCTTCAATTAATAAAACTAATATGAGAAAATGTTTTAACTCAACTAACAATTAATTTTGTATCAAAGTCGAAATTTGATTAAGAATTTTTTAAATTCGTGCGAGACGAATAAAATGAAATATAATTTTGTTGATTTTTGATAATTGCTTCGTCCGAAATTGTTCAACAAAGAAATTAGGCGTCATGTGTGCATAAAGAAAAATTTTATTTTTCTTATGGTCAATATGTTCGATTTTTTATCAAGATGTGTTATTTGAAAACTTACAAGATGAGTTTTTAACAAGATAGATTGTATAAAATCCAATGGTATATCCACTTCTTTTTCACTTTTTTTTTTCTTTACTTGTATTTTCCCCTTTTCCTTTATTGAGTATACGTAATAAGTACAACACAATTTTTTTTTTTCCCACAATGCATGGGTCTAATTTTTAATATGAGGCATATAGATGTATTAAGTTCTAAATGATTTGAACAAATCTAAGTAATAAAAACTAAAAAATTATTCATTGCAAAAATAAGATACTTCATACTAGGTCTAGAATACTTGTCGGCTAATAAAAATGTTCTAATATGTTTTGTTTATTAAAAGAAATTTTAAATTAAAAATAAATGTTGACTGTTCAGGTTTGTACTCAATTAAAAATAAATGCAGAAATAATCAACATGAGTTGGCTCAAGTGGTAAGCAGCTTGATGTCGCTTAAGCAAGGTCTCGGGTTCGAGTCCTTGTGGATGCAGAAAACCCTTGTTGGGAGACTCCCCTACCACTACCAGGTGTGCGACCCGGGTCGACCAACGAATTAGTCGGAGCATAGCTCCAGATACCGTAGCTGGCTACCAAAAAAAATAATAATAAATGCAGAATATTCATATGACAAAATGTTTACTCAATTAAAATATTTTTTTTTTTTTTATTTATTAAATCTATTTCCAAGATAAGGAACCCACCAACTAAAAAGGAATCATACTAGCCTCACATCAGTGTCCCCCATATCAATAGAAGGCAAGCCACAAAACCCAATCCAATTCTCATAACACTTGACAAACAAAATTCTCAACCTAAAAACTACACACATAAACACATTACAGACCACCAACCAAATAATGCACTGCCAAATCCCCAATGTGAGTCTTCAACTTCTCCACAAAACAATCCACACCACATCTTCTTTCTATCTCTCTCCAAAACTCAACCTAAACCAGCACCAACTGGCCTCAACAGCCACCACCAAACAAACCCAGATTCAAAAACCCGACTCGTACAACGTCAAGTTCACGACTCTCGAAGCATGCCAGCTCAGCATCTCGAGATACCCGAATTTCGATTACAATGCCAAGGGAGGCTCGGGTTTTGGGATGGCATCTAAAATAGCCGAATCAAATGACCAAATTTCCGTTGATTTCGACGTGAACGGATTGTATATACCGCCGTTATCAACAGCCACTACAAAGTTCCTAGGGCTGCCCTTACCGCCCTTTTTGAAAATCGACATACTTCCTGAGACCTTTCATGGAAGCATCGACCGGGATTCTGGCAAGGTGGTGACTGTCTGAATTCTTTTTTCATAAAATCATTTTTTTCATAAGATCACTGTAAATATATTTATTTACAGGTCGAGCTCAAGTTCAGGGCCAGATTCTGCTTTTCTGTTGGGACTGTGTATAAGGCTCGGCCGCTGCTTGTGGATACGGTTTTAACATCGGAAGAATGTAAAGGGGAGATTATTAGAGGAGGAAAAGGGGAGAGGCTTGGAAAAGATGGGATGTGCAGGCTAATAGGGGTGGCGAAAGTCGAGCCTATTAACGATATTTTCATGGATACGTTCCTTGCACTTCCTACCGAGTGCTTAGCAATTTTGAATGCAACAATCTCATTCTCGAGCAGC